ACGCAACCTCGAAAATCTAACGACGCACAGTGAAAATTAAGCAGCGACGCAACTTCGAAAAAACGCAAAATGAAACGACGCAAAGCGAGGTATTGGTGTATTTGCTTAACAATTTATTTGTAGTAATTCATCTGAATAAAATACATCGTAATTACGTCACAATGATTGGAATCTGACACAGCATTTTCTACCAAAAATTTGTATAAATTGCTATATGGATGTTTTGGTAAATCCGATTCTTATGATTGTCATAAAACACCCAGTCAAATTATTTAGTTTCATGGACAAATCTTAGTTATTTGTTGCTTAAAGATGCGTAACATTCTTCTGGTAATATGTAGAACTTCTAATGTGTAAAAGTACAAAGTATAAGTGTATCCAAAGTCTGACATTCATGAAATATTATTATATCATTTTATACGTGTGATATGCATATAATTGCATTTTTAGGATATAAATCCATTTTTTCCCAAAGGAACTCATAGCTCTTAAGAATTTAGTCAAGTAATAAAAAAGTAGCTATCGTAATATCGTTTAGAAATACCAAATAATGATGGAAGGGTCTAGTCCTACGAACGGAGAGTCAGAGTCAGATTATGCAGACCAAGTTGAAGAAATGGAGGAAGGTAGGAAGTAATATGAATTTCATAAATTTGCTGGACACATTCTTTCAATGAATTAATGTAACACTACGTAATGATCAAAACTATTAAAAGCACTATCTAAAGATTCTCTTCTTGCAAATTTTCTACACTGTCAAATTTGTATTCAACAAATCATTTTAATAACATTAATATGACTCAGAATGTATTTATTGAAAATATTGGCAGGAATTGATTCTGAAGCATACTGTTTCTTTTATTTCTGACTAGATAAAGCAAGGTCAGAAGCGACATTTCGCTACACAGTGAAAAATTTTTCTAAAATGAAAAGAAGGCAATTCTCACCACCATGCTATGTCCGCACTTTGCCATGGACAATACTAGTAGAGCCATGCATGGAACAGATGGAAGACGGATCCCGATCAAAAGTATTTGGTTTTTACCTACAATGTAATGAAAAAAGTGAATCACCATGGAGATGTTATGCAACTGCAGATCTTCGATTGCTTGCTTGTCAGGAAGGACACAAACCATTTAGTAGAAGTTAGTCTACTGTGTATTATTAATACCTAATTTCCAGAGCATTATTTCCCTTTATTTAACTTCTGAATCATAATTATGTACACATTCTTGCATATGTATATTTGAGAGCATGGATTCCTATTTTAGAGATCCACCATCTCTTCTGTAATGAACACAAAAACTGGGGATTCAAATGTTTTATGAGATGGCAGGATGTCCTGGATTCTGACAAAGGTTTCCTTAAGGATGATTCTATTACGCTCGAGGTTAGCGTATCATATATTTTAATCAAGAAGATTGATAATATAATTATTTGTGAACAATTCTTTAACGTGAATCTCTGAAAAATAGGTTCATGTGATGGCTGATGCTCCACATGGTGTCAATTGGGATAGTAAAAAACATACAGGATATGTAGGTTTAAAAAATCAAGGTGCTACGAACTATATGAATTCGTTACTTCAAACTTTTTATTTTATCAATCAGGTAGGTTAATGATATCTTAAAGATTGAAGTTCTAACTTGTACTGACACGCATTAATTTCCTTATACTTGAGTGAATGGTAAATGAATAATAGAAGGAAATCAATTTATAAATTGTAATTATAAAGTGACCACGTTCATAAAAGATACAACATACGTCTAGACGCACATTCAATATTAATGAACGATTCTTAGGCCGGTATTCAGAGTCGTTGCTTATTCTTAAGATCGTCTTAAGCATTTGCTTAAATCCCTGTTCCCTGTACAAGACAAGGACTAAAAAAATGGGATAGACAGGGATAGCAAATTCTAAAGACAATCTTCAGAATAAGTAACAACTCTGAATACCGGCCTAATACCTTGTCGATCCAGACCTTTAAATAGTTACAAAATTTATTTTCCAGTTACGTGAAGCAGTTTATAAAATGCCAACAGAAAGCGACGATTCAAGCGAGAGCGTTGCTCTGGCTGTACAAAGGATTTTTCACGATTTGCAGTTTTCTGATTACTCAGTAGATGCAAAAAAATTAACGGAAACTTTCGGTTGGGGAACATTGGATTCTTACACACAATATGATGTACGAGAATTTTTATACCGGGTAAGCGATAGTAATGTGATTTACGATTAACGATACATGTTAAACAATAAGAATTAACGGTCGTAAATGTCTATTTCAATAATTTGCCACAATTAATATTCCTTATTCCGCAATTCCTTATTGCTTACTCCTAACTATTTTAGCTGTTACATGATTTGGAAAGAAAAATGAAAGGAACATGTGTAGAAAATACAGTTCCAAAATTATTTGAAAGCAAAATGGAGTCGTTTATCAAATTTCCAAATTCCGATTGCAAATCGACTAGAGCTGACACTTTCTATGATATACAGTTAAATATTAACGGCAAGAAAAATAGTAAGTATTACGAAAATATTTTGTTATACTTACTATTAGAAATTAATATTTCACTTATCATGTACAGTATGTATGTAGCAAATTAATTTTTATTTAGTTTATGAATCTTTTGACGATTACCTGAGTATTGAAACATTGAAAGGAAAAAGTGGATTGGAAGAAGTAGAAAAAGGTGTTAGTTTTTTATCATTTTCACCAGTGTTGCCTTTAAATTTAAGGCGATTTCAGTACGACCAAGTTACAAAATGTTCTGTGAAATGTAATGATAGGTAAGGATTACGCATTCCTGTGCATTAAGTAGTTTTAAAGGTGCCCACTCAACGTGCGACTAAACTTGACCATTTTATAAAGGTTTGAATTTTATGAAAAAATAAATCTTGGAAAATACTTACCAAATAAAGAAGCCACAAATGCGGACTACAGGTTACACGCGGTCTTAGTTCACAACGGCGACAATTATGGCAGTCAATGGGTTGTATTTATCAACCCAGTAGGTGATTTCAAAGTATGTGAATTTCTTTGGGTTGAAACTAGTATTTGTAAATATAACGAAGCATACGTTGTTCCAAATAATTTATAAATCTATTTTGTTTTGCTTGAAATATATTTGTTTCACGGTAGCTATCATTCAAGTATTTAATTTTAAACTAATCAATTTAATATTTTATAGAGTATATGCTCACGTTCTGTTATTAAGTAATTATAAATCATTTCTTCGTTTTGATGGTTTTGATTGTACGTACTTAATATTGAAGCAGTGGTACAAATTTGACGACGAAGTTGTCTCGAGGTGTACGACAGAAGAAGCTATCGAAGACAATTATGGTGGTCAAGGAGTGAAAGCTTGCACGAACGCTTACATGTTGGTGTATATGAGCGAATATTCGTTCTTCCTAGGTAGTGACGCTCAATCTCTTTTCAGTTGCAGACAAACAGAATCCGCACACTCGAACACGTAAGTTAGCACGTTTATTCTATATCGTTATCCAGATAACATGAACACGTAGCTTGTATTTTCGAAACTTTGTGCAACGGATTTTCATTCGTTTAGAGTCGATGTAGTTGGAATTGTCGCTAAGAATGAATTAGAGATTTCAAGATTTAATTTGAGCCCAAGTTGGACTCACGTGCACCAATGTTAACAAATTTATTAGCAATTGAAGTTTCTTAAGATTCTACTCTTGTGTTTGCAGATCAATAATTCAGCGCCTCCGCGAGATAGAGGATAACCAAAAGTAAGTATCTTTACCCAGATAGCACGGATACGTAGCTTGCATTTTCGGATCTTTGTGCAAAATTTTCATTCGTTTTGAGTCGATGTAGTTGGAGTTGTCGCTAAGAATGAATTAAACTAGAGATTTCAAAATTTAATTTGAGCCCAAGTTGGACTCACGTGCTGCAATGCTAACAAATTTATGAGCAATTGAAGTTTCATAAGATTTTACTCTTATGTTTGCAGATCAATAATGCAGCGCCTTCGCGAGATAGAGGATAACCAAAAGTAAGTATTCAATATATCATTTCCGGTAATAGATCGCTTGTATTTGTAACATAACGTTCTGATACTTTCTTTCTCTTTACAGAACCATGACTCAGACAATGAAACGCACAAATGTCAATCAACAGTAAGTACTTATTATCGAATTGAGTATCGAATGTATCAACCTGAGTCGCTACATCCTTCTTCATCATCTGCAGACTAATGCTGACTGAGTCAAAAAAGAACAGAGTACCGCGTCCACCACACTTCCCCTTAAACAGCTTAAGAGATTTTATAGATGTGAACCAAATAAACGATGAACAGTTCAATAACCTCGTAAGTGAAACAATAATTAATGTAATGTATGTATGTATATTTATAGTAATTTTCTTTCTTTAGGTCGTATACTATAAGTCACTGGGCGGTTTTACGTTAGATGAAGCGGTGACCGTCTCCTTAAACGAAACTATGACCGAACACGTAATTAGCCAATTAACATGGTTTGGAGACCGACATGGCACAGAGGCACTCAAGACTTCAAAAGTTACTTCCGCTATATACGGTTATTATCTTCTATAATGCGATCTTGTATAATTTCAGTATATTAAGGATTATAACACACCATAAAAATTAAACGTCTCCCAATGAAAGAAAACAGTCATTTCGATCCGCCAACAAAATCAGAGTTCACGATGGCAATGGTGGCGGCATTAAAAACCATTCATGAAAGTATAGAGATGAAAGCTCGCAGAAACGTCCCACAACGGTACTCTTGGGATGACGATGACTAAGCCGCGTCCAATAAAGGTAGGACTAGTAGGTTTCGAAGCTTCATGTACAGTATGTATTTAGCAAGTTAATTTTTATTTAGTTTATGAATCTTTTGACGATTACCTGAATATTGAAACATTGAAAGGTAAGAATGGATTAGAAGAAGTAGAAAAAGGTCTTAGTTTTTTATCATTTCCACCAGTGTTGCTTTTACATTTAAGTCGATTTCAGTACGACCGAGGTACAATGTGTTCTATGAAATGTAATGATAGGTAAGGATTACATATTAGTACGCATTAATTACTTTGGTGTCCACTGAACATGCAACTAAACTTGACCATTTTAAAAAGGTTTGAATTCTCTGAACGAATAAATCTTGGAAAATATTTACAAAACGAAGAATTTACAAATGCGGACTATCGGTTATATGCGGTCTTAGTTCACAGCGGCGATAATCATGGCGGGCATTATGTTGTATTTATCAATCCAGCCGGTGATGGCGAAGTATGTAAATTTCTTTGAATTCAAACTAGTATTTGTAAATATAACGAAGCATACGTTGTTCCAAATAATTTATAAATCTATTTTGTTTTGTCTAAAATATATTTGTTTCACGGTAGCTATCACTCAAGTATTTAATTTTAAACTAAGTAATTTAATATTTTATAGAGTATATGCTTACGTTCTGTTATTAAGTAATTATAAATAATTTCTTCGTATTGATGGTTTTGATCGTATGTACTTAATATTGAAGCAGTGGTACAAATTCGACGACGATGTTGTCTCGAGGTGTACGAAAGAAGAAGCTATCGAACACAATTATGGTGGTCAAGGAGTGAAACCTTGCACGAACGCTTACATGTTGGTGTACATGAGCGAACGTTCGCAGTCCTCCCTGGATAGCGACGCTCACTTTCCTGACAGCTGCGGGCAAACAGAATCTGCACCCTCGAACACGTAAGTTAGCTCATTTATTCTATATCGTTACCCAGATAGCATGGACACGTAGCTTGCATTTTCGAAACTTTGTGCAACGGATTTTCATCCGTTTAGAGTCGATGTAGTTGGAATTATCGCTAAAAATTAATTAAACTAGAGATTTCGAGATTTAATTTGAGCCCAAGTTGGACTCACGTGCTCCAATGCTAGCAAATTTATTAGCAATTGAAATTTCATAAGATTCTACTCTTATATTTGCAGATCAATAATGCAGCTCGTCCGCGAGATAGAGGATAACCAAAAGTAAGTATCGAATATATTATTTCTAGTAGTAGATCGCTTGTATTTGTAGCATAACGTTCTGATACTTTTTTTCTCTTTACAGAACACTGACTCAAGTAATGGAACGCATAAATGTCAATCAAAAGTAAGTATTTATTATGTCGAATGTATCAACTTGAAATACTACCTCCTTCTTCATCATCTTCAGACTAATGCTGACTGAGTTAAAAAACAGGGTACCGCGTCCACCATACTTCCCTTTAAAGAGGTTAAAAGATTTTATAGATGTGGACCAAATAAACGATGAACAGTTCAGTGACCTCGTAAGTGAAACAATAATTAATGTAATGTATGTATATATATTTATAGTAATTTTCTTTCTTTAGGTCGCATAT